GCTACTAGTCCAATATAATAAAAGGCTAATATGCAAATTGACTGAATGGTGGAACGACCGGTCGCAGATGATGCAGACTGACCACCAGGGGGCAGATGTTCAATGCAGGAGCTGCCCCCTGGTGGTCAGTGCACTCCCACAGGGGGAGCGCCACTCAGCCAGAAGCCGGGCTCAAGGCAGGCAAGCGCAGTGGCAGTGGTGGAAGCCTCTCCCGCCTCCACAAGCAAGCTATAGAATGAAAGCAAATATTCATATTACATATATCCACAAAGAACAGAATATATAAAGAACACTTCCAACACATAATATGATGGTGAACAATCCAATTAAAACTGAGTAAGGGATTTGAATGGAAGATATAGTAGTGGCCCATGAGGACATAAAAAGATGATTGACATCATGAATCATCAGGGAAATGCAAATTCAAACCAGTATGAGATACCATTGCACTCCCATTAAAATGGCTACAATTGAAAAAAACTGGAAACGTCAAGTGTTGGAAAGAATATAAAGAATTGGAACTCACACTGCAGGTGAAAATGTAAAATGGTAAAACCACTCTGGACAACTGTCTGGCAGTTTATTAGAAAGTTCAAAATAACACCTCCTCTGTAGCCCACTCATTCTACTACTAGGTCTTCACCCAAACATACACCCACAGCAAGGCTTGGACATGAATGTTCATAGCAACTTTATTCATAATAGCACCCAAACTGGAAACAACCCAAATGTCTACCAACAGGTAAGTGAATAAAATGAGAACTTTCCAGAACAAGGGAATCCTGCTCAGTAATAAGAAGGAAGAAACGACTGATCCACATTACTACATGGATGAATACCAATAACCATGATGAGTAACATAAACCAGACACAAACATGTACCTGCTATATAATCCCATGTATACACTATTTTAGAAAATGCAAAAGACTCTCTACTGAGTGAAAGTGGACCACTGGTTGGCTGGGATCAGAGGCAACAGAGAGACAACTTGAAATGACCACAAGGAATCTCTGGGAAATTTCCTGTTCTGGATCATGGTGGTGGCTAACTGGGCATGATTCTCTCACATTCATCACTGAATTGTTCAGTTAAATGGGTGCAGTTAATTGTATGCAAATTATAACTCAATAAAGCTGATTTTTTAATAAAGTAATGAGAACCAATGAAAAAGAATTCATACCAGTTAAGTATATAATTAGCATATCCAGTGTTTATGTGAATAGTGTGTTTAAAATGTTTAACAGCGCACGTAGTTTTTTCCTTAGGTACTTCAAACACTGACCCTAGATACGGATTTTGTGATTAATTTGCCTGACAAACCTCACCCAGTGCCCCTCGAGAGTTCATTCCAGCCCCACTCCTCTCTGCATGAGAACAAACTCTGAATGAGTGCGGTCTATATTAAGGATAATTGTAAAAAAGTGGAAAGCTTGATAGAAAAGCTCAGTGAGGGATGGACAGCTGTGCTGACAGTGCGACATTCAAACTTTGTTCTAAGGTTCATTCTGTTCCAAACTCTCATATGCTATCAAGCCAACTGATCTTCACATAAACTTCTGCTGGTAAGGATACAGATGGTCCACAACCTACAATAGTTCAACTTACAACTTTATCTGCAGAGACATACTGATGAAATGATATGGATTTCTCTCATTCAATACTCACCACAGCCACTAATGTAAATATGACTGTTATCCCCATTTTTTTCCATTTAAGGAAACTGATATTCAGAGAAGTACAGTTATTTGCCCAAATTCACCTAGTTAGTAAGAGGCAGGACTGAGATTTATATATTTGGAGTACTTTTTAACTGGTTTAAGTGAAAGTTCCAACAGAGAACTAAAGTATTAAATCTTTTTTTTCTGCATCACTAATAAAAAAGCACATATTTAAATACACTACTGACATTTTGTGGGGCTTTTTCTTGTCACCAGAATGTCATATTCTTCCTACTGGGCAGTCAATATTTGGTGGGAAATTGATTCATCTGCTTCTTTAAGAGCAGACTCTGAAAAACAAAGTCACATGAGCTTCTAGGGAATGTACCCAGATTGGGGAGCTACCAGCTTCTAGGAAGAACCAGAAATGTGGCAAACGGTAAAACCAACAGGACAGCAAAGGACTAAGACTGCATTTAGGCAGCTGGGAGTTGGCATGAAACCCGCAGTCAAAACCGCAACACTGCCAGGCTCATGGCTGACAATCATTCACAAATCTGTAAAACTGCTGGTCACCACCACCATCTCTAGTTAAGGTGTTGTTTAAACATTCATAAGGAAAAAATGAGAATAGATAAAAATAAATTGTTAGGTAGACTAACCCTCAAGTCTCCTAAATAGCTTTGGTAATTGAAAGTCTGAAAATCATAAATATAATAAGTACATATTCTGACCTTCAACAAAAGTCCTTTTCAGTCACTCAGCTCAATAATACTAGTATGGTGTTTCAGAATTTACTTTCTCGGGTCATGGTTAAAGTATAACACTCTTACACAGTTTCCATCACTTAATTCTAATAAATCTAGTCCTGGACTACTCCTAGGAATTATATCACTTAGAGTGAAGCCTTTGTGTGAGGGGGAGGCTAATTGCACCTTATATTTTAAAAAAATACATGTTTGAGTACAGTTGCTACCTGATATTTAGCTTTCTCCTTTCCTCCCTCGTCTGGAAATCTCTGGTGTTACTAGAATGCAGAAAGACTACCCTGGGGGAATGGTGGCAAGGTCCAACTCCAGTTATACTTTCTTATTCTGGCATGAACTCCCGTTCAGTCACATGTGTGCTTATTTGGCAGCAGAGGAGCAGAGGGAAGGGACATAGCACACAGCTGCCATCTGCGGCTCCCTCTCCCGGCTGCCCTAGCAATGAGGACAAGGGTGGGAGTTCCTCCTAGAGACAAGAGCAGAGTGTATGTCACAATGGGCCCACAGGAGTGTTTTTCAGGAAGCAACATTTGGACCTTGCACATTAAAAAGCAAAGCAGTCATTGTAGGCGCACTCTGCAATGATAGCATCAAGTCACATTGTGGAAACTTCCGATTATCAGTCCAGTCCAGCAGTCACAGCTGAGATCAAGTGAGGCTGCAGCCTCCTGTGCTCGGCCAACTGTCTCCAGTTGGGTACAGACATCTCCAGTGTCCCACAGCCCGAATCACTCCCTACTGTTGTACCTGGCCCACTACATCAGGTAATTTTACCAGCTGGTCCCTTAAGCATTTGAATTTGCAACCCCTGGTCCACACTCATCAATTTAAAAAGGTACTTACAGTTGCATGACCAAGTACAAGTGATTTGGGCTTTCATAAATGTCTTCCAGGGCAACAATATTTTCATGCTTAATCCTGAAAGAACAATGAAACACACACAGAGAATAATAAGTACGAGACATGAAAACTTTTAAAAACAGATGTCATTATAGCATAAAGTTCTAAATGTTAACAAGAAGAACAGGGTCAAAATGGAGTCACTTGTGCTAAGCCCCACATCAGAAAACCAAGACTTAAAACCTAATCTAATTGCAGTTATACCCACAGGTATGAAATATTAACTGGCCAGTCTGGAATTTTCTGGTTGACACAAGAGTGAATCTGCTACATAGCCCCCTTCTGTCCTCCATAAATAGATTAACTAAGTCTGACACAACCCATTATTTTTCCCTTCTGCCTATAAAATCCTTCCATTTTATACACCTCCTCAGAGCTCCTTTCTGCTTGATAATGAGATGCTGCCCAATTCATGACCTGCTCAATAAAGCTAATTAGATCTTTAAAAATTATTCAGTTGAATTTCTGTTATTTAATATAATGCAAACTCCTTAACATTTAAGACCCCTCACAATCTTGTCCCTAACTTGTTCCCAGGCCTATTTTCCCCCTACTTTCTGCTCCCCTTCATTCATTCATGAAGCTCTAGACCTCTCCAATGTAGCAATACTAGATTAACTACTATTGTTTCACATGTATCCCAGCCTCCTTGCATTTATTCATATGAATCTCAAAAATGGGTCAAACATGTCAAAATCCCATTAACTTGCAGGACGAATTTAATTCTCCCTCTTTTGTAGTCTTCCAATGGTGTCACGACTGGCCTAAACAGTTCATTGCATGCAAATCCATCCACACATACATAGTGAGATGTTCCAGATGTTTCATTGTAAAGTTCATGACTCCAGTGTAGGCAAAGGAAAACCAGACTGACCCCTCATTGTGACCAACACTACCAATGTCAATTCAGTACCTCAAGGAAACTAGACAGATGCTGCTGAAAGTGTGGCTTCCAAATAGGCAGCACTAGCATCTCCTGGGAGCTTGTTGGAAAGCAAATTCTCAAGCTCTCCCTGTCAGACAGAATCAGAGTCTGTAAGGGCAGGGCCAGGAATCTGCTTTAATAAAATTCTCAGATGGAACAAAGATGGCGGTAGAGGTAAATGCCGGTACTCACAACCACATCAAAATTACAACTAAAATACAGAACAACCATCATTCAGAACCACCTGAAAGCTGGCTGATGGAAGTCCTATAACTAGAGAAGTAAAGAAGGAAGTACATCCAGACCAGTAGGAGGGGTGGAGGCACAGAACTAACTAGTCTGACACCCATGTGTGGCTTGCTTTAATTGGGAGGGCTCTCTCCACTGCAGAGACCTCCTGTGAAAGGGAGTCCCAGCCCCACACCAGATCCCCAGCCAAGGGTTTCAGAGCTGGGAAGAGAAGCCTCCATAACTTGGAGCTGTAAAAGCCAGTGGGATGGTAGTTGAGCAACACAAAGGCTGCTGAAGACCCAGACAGTCCCTCTTAAAGGGCTGGCGTATGAACTTACACAGTCCTGCTCCCTCTGAGCTCTAGCGCTGGTCAGCGGTACTGGGGGAACCAGGGACATATGGGGCAGGAACCTGGAGGCAGCTTTCTCCCAGATGGAGGTGCTCACAGGGGTCATTATCCCTGTCACATCTACGTTTCTATCAACATGGCTCACACTGTTCACTCCACCCTGGTAATTCCCTGAGACCCTGCCCCATCCAACTTGCAGCCCCACCTAACCTGTTTGCAGCAGCTTTCCCATATGAATGGCCTGTCCTGGCTCAGGCTTCAGACTTTCCTAAAATCTCTCAAACAAGTAGCAGCTGGCATCACATGCCCCATACCTATCAATAAGAGGCCCAAGACCTGGTACTTGCAACAGCCTGCCTTGCTTCACAGCTTGGATTCACCTAGGTATTTCTAAGCCCAACACAAGTAGCAGCCATCTTCAGATCACTCTGTAGCTTGTGCAGGGTAGCCCCAGGCAGTGGCTGACTTTGCACCTCCCAGGAGGCCCCAGAGCCAGTGCAGACCAGACCAGATTATAACTCTACACATTCACAAGTGACACACTCAAGGGGCAGACTCAGTGAGCACAAAGCCCCACTAAAGCAATTCCTGCTCCATATGGGTGTCCTCTACACAGCAGCTCTTCCACTGTAGTCACAGTGGGTCCTCACAGCCAATTTGCTTGGAGGTCAACTGCTTCTAGTGACGCCAAAAGCAATCACGGCTCAATTACAACAAGACTGCACACAACCAACACAGGGGAGCACCTATAGTGTCCAGGTCCGGTGACTGAGGAGGCTGAGCCACTGGGCCCTACAGGACACCTACTACACAAGGCCACTCTACCAATTCTAGAAGACATAGCAGCTCTACCTAATACACAGAAACAAACACAGGAAAGCAGCCAAAATGTGGAGACAAAGAAACATGTCACAAATAAAAGAACAGAAGAAATCTCCAGAAAGAGAAATAAATGAAATGTAAGCAAGCAAAATACTGGACACAGAGTTCAAAACAATGGTTAAAAGGTTGCTCAATGATCTTAACGAGTGCTTCAAGAGAATTAATAAGACCTTCAAGGGAATTAATGAGAGCTTCAAGGGACTTGGTGAGACTTTCAAGGATTTTAATGAGAATGTCAAAGACATGAAAAAGGACCAGTCAGAAATTAAGAATAATTTACAGGGATTCAAAAATAGAGTAGAGGATTCTGAGAATCAAATCAACAATTTGGAATATGAGGAAGCAAAAAACACCCAATCAGAAGAACGAAAAGAAAAAAGAATCCAAAATTATGAACATAATGTGAGGAGCCTCTGGGACAACTTCAAGTATACCAACATCTGAATTATAGAGGTGCCAGAAGAAGAGAGAGAGCAAGATATTGAAAACCTATTTGAAGAATAATGACAGGAAACTTCCCCTACCTGGTGAGAGAAATAGACTTATAAGTGCAGGAAGCACAGAAAGTCCCAAACAAGAGAAACCCAAGGAGTCCCACACCAAGACACATCATAAGTAAAAAGCCAAGGGTTAAAGAGAAAGAGAGAATCTTAAAGGCAGCAAAAGAAAAGCAGTTAGTTACCTACAAGGGAGCACCCATACAACTATCAACTGATTTCTCAACAGAAACTTTGCAGGCCAGAAGGGAGTGGCAAGATATATTGAAAGGGATGAATAGCAAGGACATACAACCAAGATTACTCTACCCAGCAAAGCTATCATTTAGAATTGAAGGTCAGATAAAGAGCTTCACAGACAAAAAAAAGTTAAAGGAGTTCATTACCACCAAACCAGTATTACATGAAATGTTGAAGGGTATTCTTTAGGAAGAAAAAAATATATAAAATATATGAACAATAAAATAGCACTAAATACATATCTATCAACAATTGAATCTAAAAATCAAAATAAATAAATAAGGTATCTAATGAACAAAATAAATGGATGAATAAAATAGAACCAGAGGCAGGCAAACATGGAACAGACTGATGAATATCAGAGGAAAGCGGGGAGAAGGGGCAGGAAGAGATTAATCAAAGATCTTATATGCATATATGCATTACCTGTGGACACAGACACTAGGGTGGTGAAGGCCTGGGGTGGGGCAGGAACCAGGTGGAGGAGGCAAATGGGGGGAAAAAGTGGTCATCTGTAATACTCTCATCATTAAATATTTTTTAAAAAGAATCAACCAGTGAATGGGTCAATAAGTAGAACAACAAGTTGACATTTCTCTCACTAAAAATAAATAAATAAAATTTTTAAAAAGTGAAAAAAAAACAACACCTCAGATGATCTGTATATACCAAGTTGAGCTAGAGAAATTCTGTATTAGGCCAGTGCTTCTCCAAGGAAGTGTACACAGGAAGAACCCAAGGTTCTGGATGCACACCCTGACTGAGCAGGTCAGAAGCAGGGTGGAGGGGATGGCTGAGAATCTGCATTTCTAACATGCTCCCTGGAGAGGCCCATGTTGCTGGTCTGACAACAAGCTTCTAACTACATATCAAGGGAGAAAAAAACAGCCTGATGCTAGCTCCCGGAACTCCCCACTAAGAGCAGCTTCTGCTTGAAATTTCAGGTCTGATAGTTATTTAAAGCATTTGAGAAAAGAATCATTTCATTACTCTATGAGCTAATTAGCTCTTACCACACATTTTTCACTGAAATTATTGCTGAACCACCTAAAAGCCAGCATTTAATGAACAGATTCTTATGAACCCTTATAAGCAGGGACTATATCTTACTCATTTTGTTTTTCCCTTGTACCTCCATTGATCTCCTAAATAAACGTTTCCTGGATGAATAGGATTTAAAAGTTGTTGCTATTAAACAGCAAAATCATTAGTTAGTTAGGGAAAACAGGCAATTTTCCTAAGTGTGAGATGCTTACAAAAAGAAGTTTATAAGGTGGAACAAACCAGAATATTATCTTGCCTTTGAGCAGCTGAAAGAAGGAAACAAAATAGTTAATTGAGCCCAGCTGGTGTGGCTCAGGAGTTGAGCATCAATCCAGGAACCAAGAGGTCACTGGTTTTATTCCTGGTCAGGACACATGCCCAGGTTGTGGGCTTGATCCCCAGTGGGGAGCATGCAGGAGGCAGCAGGTCGATGATGTTTCTCTCTCATCAATGTTTCTCTCTCTCCCTCTATCCCTCTCCCTCCCCTCTCTCTAAAAATCTAAGCAAAATAAGCCAGGCAGAGAAAGACAAGTATCACATGATCTCACTCATATGTGGAATCTAATGAACAAAATAAACTGATGAACAAAATAGATCCAGAGACATAGAAGCATGGAACAGACTGTCGAATCTCAGAGGGAAGGTGGGAGTGGGTAGGAAGAGATCAACTGAAGAACTTGTATGCATATATGCATAACCCACGGACACAGACAATAGGGTGGTGAAGGCCTGTCATGGAGTGGGAAGGGGGGTGCTAAAAGAAGTCAATGGAAAAAAAGGGGACAAATGTAATACTTTCAACAATAAAGATTTTTAAAAATCAATAAAAACACATTAAAAATAAATATAA